GACACCTCATCAGAACATTTGCAGGCTCTGTGTTCTCAAAGTTCACAGTTATTTTGTGTTCTGCACCAAGTACACATTGCATGCAAAGAGGCTTATATGGATAAAGCAATACTGAATTACTATTGATTTTCTTTTATATAAAAAGAGCCACAATTTCCTAGCATGCATTTTGCACAATTCTTTCATTTACTGCATAAAATAACACACCCATGTATTAATGGTACCTTTTGTGTACTATTGAACAGAAACATATGTTAATACTGTTTCTAGGCAATGAAATGCATTTTTATACACATTGAAATAGTATATAATTAGTAGCTACGAGGTTTATTCACAGTACAGTAACCCAGTGGTCAGGTAGGTCAAAGCTTGGCTTCATGAATGTATATATATATATATATATATATATACATATATATATCTTATTATTATTTTATTTTATTTACATTTTAAACACAGTTGTTAAGTCAATACACCTCACACTTGTGGATAAAGCTGTCTCTATATTAATGGGGAATGTGTAAAGTTAATTTATTGAGCCAAATGTAAAAGTTATGATAGTGGTTATGGTAATAGGAGACTACTGGTGCAAGTCCTCAGGTTTTTCCAAAACATTTTAAACTATACCTGCTAGTCTGCAACATATAGCACATGTTCTCAGTATACAATAGGGTAGATGTTTGGGTATCTGGTGAGCTCTGTCAAGTAGCAGAATGTCCTGTGGCACATGCGATGCAAATGATCGAAGGGATGTCATGAGGAATGCCGTTAGGGCCGCAACCACAACACTTCCATTATACCCCTGAAATGGAGGTTACTCCTCCTGGCTCTATCCTCCAGGTCCAGTAATTTAGTTTCACATTGGAAAGACCGTTGGTTCTCCAGTAGCTTGATCTTAGCTTTGCAAAGTCACTCAGCTTTGTTTTCATGTATGAGGTCCTATAGCCCTTTTCAAATATATATTTTCTGATCTTCTCCAATGAACTTTGAAACTTAGAGAATAATTTTTCCAACATGGAATCCAAAGACTTTTGTAGGAAGACTTTGGAAAGTATGTTCTCATTGGTAGTAGGTTGTACAACCACGGAGCTGCTTCCTTTACTCAAGCTGTCTTTTTTATTCTCTTTTTGGTTCCTTCTAGCAGAATGTCAGTGTCATATTGCTCCTCTGTGTGGCCCGTTGTAGAAGATTGATATCTCTGGCCTAAGAAGTGAAGTTTTTCATTTTTCTTTCAATATTTCTTCACATTAGGGTGAGACATGTCTCTCCTGTTCTTAGGTCACTTGTTTATTCACTTCTGCTGGGATAGTAAAGCTTGCTAACTAGGCTGATAGCACAGAGCTCAGAAACAAGCGCCATGCTGATCGGTTGCTGGCCACGGCCCACATGATTTTTTTTTAAATGTTGTGTTATTTTGATATGTTTTATATAGTGATAGATTTTTTAATATACAATTTTTTGAAAATTTAATGTGTTAAAAACAATAATTTGATAGATGGATCCAAAAATATTATGTAATTTGGAAAGCTTAACCAACAATATTAAATTGAGGCCTTAGACTATTGTGTTTTTATGGCCTATGCTCAGTATTCAGTGGGCTGCACACTTTATTCTCACCGTAAATATTTGCAGGGCTTAACCTTCCTATAACAATAGCCAAGCTTTAACATTTACAAGCCTCTGCAAGCAAGAGTCCATGTCACACTTACCAGAACTAAGTTTTCACTCACCAATAGCTAGTGACAATTGGAAATTGCGATAGCTGATTAAAATATAATATGAATGTAGCATGCTGCAGGATCTGAGTTTGCTTTAATTTGTATCAGTATCAAATTATACAGAAAAAGAATATAATTACTAGTCTATAATTCAGTAAAATGCAATATGTACTGAAAGGCCAAATAAAATGGACCTGTTTTAAGCAGTCATCTTAAATAACAATGCCCACATGCATGGCATGTGAAGGTTGCTTTATTGTATAGTAAAAAAATAATGTTCTAGGACAATAAGACAATGTAATGTTCACCATATCTACAGACACCCACGTGATTTTGTTTTATAGATGTTACACAGATAAGACATACCTTGAAATTTGGTATGTTGCCATCATGTACCCTTCTCACAAATTGAGTCCTTGGTCTCTATTAACAAAGCATACTAAAAGTATTGTGTCTGCATGAATAGGTTTGGATTTCTTAAAACTAAGAATGCACAAACTTTAGATAAATGAAGGAAATAAAAAATGTGGTTACATTTTCCAGTAAAATGAATACATTTCTGATCAATCCAAAAGCCTGAAAACAAAGGGAAAAGGTGCCATTAACAAAAAGAGCTCTCAATCTGTAATCAACACATACGTTTTATATATATATATATATTTATATACAAGATTGTTTTTAAAGATACAGTGCACTTTATTTTTTGGGGGGCTTATGCACTTTTAAGGGGCTGCTTAAAATATTGTATATTGAATTTATTATTATTTTAAATATTGCTAGTGCCTTTTTTTTGCCCCAGGACATACTTGAAAATGAGAGAATTCTCAACGTATCCTTCCTGGTAAAATATTTTATATTAAATGTAAATAAATGTATACATTCAACATTCTCTTTTTAATACATTAACACACAATGTAAAAATAATTATTTTAGTTTTATGAATCTGGTGTATCCTTCTCTAGTGATACCCAGTATTCAGTTAGATTCCACAACTGCATAAATGTCACCTTATGTTTGTCTTTTTATGTTTTCCATAATTAGACATTAAAAAATTTGAGACTTAGCCATTTAACTTTTGAAATTTGTAATTTTCACACTAGTATTATGTCTTGTTTTGATCAGTTTAAATTGATGTATTCTTGGCCCTATTCACTAGAATGAATGGTCCTACTCCCATGCAGTGCATGGTCCTACTCACATCTTATATCCTTATACTTTCCATCACTTAGCTTGTGAGCAGGATTGAGCAAGTCCTTCTTCACCTCATTTCTTTGCCAACACTACTTTATATGTCAATATTTGTGGTTTACATTTAAACATTGTGAATATTAAAGCACTGCTGAATATGCTGGTGTTCTATAAATGCTATTACTAATAAATAATAATAGCCAGTGGACCACAAAAAAAAAACAGCACAAGAAAATTGATGAGTAAGTGGGGATGAAACACAAAGATTAGTGAGTTTAGTTGACATTGTGATGGAGAGAAGCAGAATGTAGATGGCAGGGGATTACACAAGCGACATGGGGTTGGATGAGTCATCAAGTGACATAGGATGAGATACTGTCACTGGTAGGTAAAATAGTGGATGTCACTCTGACATACAGTGATGATGAAATGTATCCCTGCTCCTGGAGGATAATTTTGCTTGACTAGCTCGGTATACGAACCTAACCAAACAGATTTCCCATTCTGATTCGTATGCCGAACAAAGTACCGTACACAGGTACCACCCAGAACAGTCTAGTTGACCCACTTGACACCACTAACACCTATTCCAACCGCAAACATTTGAGCATTCTAAGATCGGATCGTATGGACGAACACAAAATGGCGGCCATCTTGTTTTGGCGAACGTCTTCAGCGGTGTTTGGTCGTCAAGTGCATGAAACTATTAGCGGACACTCAATGGCCCAAACAACACTGAGACTTCCATACTCGCCTATGTTCAAGCATATTCATCCGACGAAAGCGGCGTTCGGTGAAACCAAACTCCCAAACTAGGGGCACACGACTAGTTCTCCCATGAACTGCTACTGTTTGTATTTTGTTGTATGTGAATCTCCCGAAAGAGACCGACCGCAAAACCTGACTCTATGGAACTATTTTGGGCCGGAGCCTCGTGTGCGGTCGGTCAAAAGAAGACTTCCATGAAAATCCTGAACCCCTAAACCGATCTGGGTGATTTTTGGATATGTTGCTCACCCAGATCAGGGCTATCAGAGGATATACTGTTTGTGGTGATTTATGCAAGTTTTTGGGGTACTTTCGTGTTGCCTGTAAATTGTGTTCTTTTTCACCTGGAGATAATTGAGTATAGTACTTGACTCAATTATCTCCCAGGCAGAGGGGAGGGATTGTATGATATGTATGGGAGTGTCATTCATTGTAACACTGCTGTTATTGGTCTGTGACTTTGTAAAAGAGTCTTCCATCAGGTCCAGGTGGGAGTACCCCTTGCATGGAGATTGTCATAAAAGGCCAAGAGCTGTACAGCTATACTGGATTCATGGGGTGCCTGGAGATCGGCTTGGGAATACTGCAGCACTACCCACACTAAGGGAAAATGACATCTCTCACGGGGTGACCGCCACAGTATTTGTTTACATTTATTTAAAATATATTTTCTTTTAAGAGAGGGTGGTTATGGCATTTAGGGAGGGGACTAATAGTGACTATATTCACCTACTGGCTGCCTTTTAACTTTAAGATAATCTGGGAGAGATTTGGCATCAGTGGAGATAGTAATAGTTAGTACACAATAGACATCAACAGTAGAATTGTAAGAGGTATAGAAACACTGGGATGCTGAGAAATAGTGACACTTGAGTGGCGATGGCTAGAGAAATGGAAGCTATGATGTAGAAGCAAATGGTGAGGGCAAAATTAGAAATTATGAAATTATGAAGCTAAATGGGAGAGCAGCCAAGGTTGTTACATTTTGACATGAGTTGTTGAGTTTTGCTACAAGTTGAAGAACCTTTTGAAATATAGTAAACATAGCTCTTTTGTATACTAACATTAACCTAATCAATCATTTCTACTTAGCAGAAGAGTGACCATACAGTCGAAAGTAGTCATAAAGAGACAATACAAATGTTGGTAAAATAATTTTCTATTGGTGTGCTGAATTGATCTAAATTCATGTGGAATACACTATATTAGTGATGTCCCGAACTGTTTGCCAAACAGTTCGCGAACGGTTCGCCACGAACGGTTCGCCACGAACGGTTCGCCACGGACTCATCATTGAGTAAACTTTGACCCTGTACCTCACAGTCAGCAGACACATTCCAGACCCTCCCTCCCAGACCCTCCCACCTCCTGGACAGCATCCATTGTGAAGCTGCATTCTTAGTGAGCTGTCCAGGAGGTGGGAGGGTCTGGGAGGGAGGGTCTGCTACTGATTGGCTGTAATGTGTCTGCTGACTGTGGGGTACAGGGTCAAAGTTTACTCAATGATGAGTCCGTGGCGAACCGTGGTGAACCGTTCGCGAACTGTTCAGCGAACAGTTCGGGACATCACAACACTATATGTCTTTTATCATTCAGAGCATACCTAAGGTTCTTGAAAGGTAAAGGTGTCTTTTTTTTAATAATACAATGTCTTCTGTTTAGCTTAGTACTAGCGATTGATGGATTAATGTATTAACATTTATTCAAGAGCATCACCAACACCTAAGATGTCAACCCACAATACCCTAAGGATTGCTACACATATATCCTTGGCTGTCTGCGAATAATGGGAGTCAATGTCTTCCTGCAGCTGAACATCTATTGATTATGAGAGAAAAAAATAAAGACAGTGTAGCTGAATAAACCAAATTTATAATAGCATTCAACCAAGCAAGTTTCAGTAAAAGAAAACACATTTGAAGATCTGCATTTTCTACACTTATTATTCAAACATGCCCTTTAATTTTATACTTGATTTATCTTGCATCCAGCATTAATGGACATTGTACTTTTGGGAATGGTCCACATTTCCCAGACCTAAGACTACTGCATATTCTTGTTCAATGTACCTTAAAAAATTAGTGCTTTTGACTAGTTCCATAAATTGAAATCTTTACACTATCCAAGATTGTGTTTATGGTAATGTACATATTATCTCTTTTGAGTCTCACTGCACAGTATGATCATCCAGCTCTTATGAATTGTTCCCTTTCTGAATCATAAAGTTAATTATTTATTAAAGATAATCACTTTCACAATAACAGTTATTATAATCATTATGCAAAAGCAGTGCAATTTCTCATATTTGTGGTGTGATCTTTCTTCTTTCTGTGAATTGTTCATGCATGTACACAATGTTTTTAAAAACATTCAATTAGACGTACATTAGACTTTCGTAATAATTTTATCATTCATTATGTCATTACTCATCAAGAAATACGAGCCTTCATCTGCTAATTATCTTCCTTGTTATTATCTCTGAGCCCATCACAAAAGAGAAAAGCATATTCTGTGACTTCCTATTTTCAGATATTTGCTATTTCACTTATAGGGAGTGATTTTATAATATGACATTGCTGGTTATATAAGTTTTTTTTTAAATTTTTATTAACAATGGATTTGTGGAATGATGCATATGTATATCCAGAGCAATGACTATTAAGCTAACTGATTTTTAAAAAAATCATAACTGTATGTTTTAGGCTGCACTGAAAATCTATTTTCTATATATAAGTGCAAAGTGAAGTAAGACAGAAGCTTAAGGGACACCCCAAGCACCAAAATAACTTTAATGTCTTTAATGCATTTTTTTTTACATGCTCAAATCTGCATGCTATTTCAAATATAATATATATATTACGATAAACACAAGGCAGATACACCTATGGATCTTTTTACACTTTTAACATATTATTACCAGTCTCTGCAAATACAATCATGTAACATTCTCTTTTAACACTTAAACACACATTATGTTTTTTCCTGTTAATTTTGTGAATCTGGTGTATTTTCTTCGATAATACCACATAGTGTATTCAGTTAGATTCCACAACTACATAAATGTCCCTTATGTTTACTTTTGATTGTTTTTGATGAAATTACATGTCAAAATGTGGGACCTAGCCATTTAATTTGAAAAAAAAATAAAAAATTTAATGTTGACACTAGGACTATATCTTCTTATGATCAGTTTATATTGGTGTAATATTGACCGCCATTATCACAATTTGTATAGTATTGGCTACCACTTACGATTGTTATAGTATTGGTACTAAGCCTTTTTCTCATTCACAATCATTTACAATCTGTGTGTAAGTCATAGTCAGACTTGGGTCTTCTTTGTCGCTGTGTAATACTGTGACGAAAGAGTAATATTTCTATTCATTTAAAATTGGGATGGTGACCACCAGATTCACCTCCAAGTTGCCTCTGCATTTGAAGGAGATCTGGGAGAAGCACATTCACACTTGGTAGAAATGAAGGGGTTAATTAGTGTCTCTCTATCACTGACAATCATTGTGCGTGGTAGATGGACTTCAACCTAATTTATCAGCCTATTATATAGTGATGAATGATTTTCCTTGTTTTCTTTATTTTTTTAAAGGGAGGTTGGTTGGGTTATTAATATTACCTTTGTGCCTCCCTCTTTTTCTTCATTTGTGGGGGGACACTTGGAGCTGATTAAATTAATTAATCCTTTGATTATTGAGTTATACATTGACAAGTGCTTAAATAATTTGATATAAGAAGGGGAGACTTAATGTCTGAGAGGACATTAGGGGCGAGGTAGATTATTTTTTTACGTTTTAAATAATGCACTATATGATTATCGTTTATCTATTCATTGTCCTAGCCATGTTGCTTGCAAATGTAGAACTAATATATTATTTACACTTTAGTATGTCTTATTATCTCAGTCTTTGAAGATATGTAATTGGTATATTACTACAGGATACAAATGTGGAGTGCGCAAATTATTTATTGGATTGACACGTGTGCATGTTGTTGCCCTCTGCATTGCCATTGTTAAAATTTAGATGCTGGCATGTGCAAGGGTTGTTCCAGGTGTATACCCTGATGAAGGGAGGTTTGCATTTGTTTAGGTGAATTCATTAGCTGGAAAAATACAAATATCAAGAAAATCTTTCTATAAAACTTACAATTATTAGAACAAGAATTAAATCTCAGAGTGGGAACAGTATGATGTTGTTTTTGTGTTTATTTTAATAAAGTATAGATGGTAAATTTATCTGAATGCAGATCTTAATGTTCTATTTTCACCTATGATTTTAGGAGGAGATTTGCATTAGAAAGAAACTTTTAGACCTGGTGTTGGACGTGAAATTTAGATGGTATTTTGAAACATACGTATTTGTTTTAAAAGAAATTGAGCAAAAATTGACACTCAAATTTGAATATTATTATTTTCACTGAGGTATTTGTTGGCATTTAATTAGCTAATTAATTGGAGGGAATTATACATAACCGACATGAAAATTTCAATGTAGCCTGAAATTAAAAATCCAGGAATAAATAAACCTCTTATAAACACTTTTCTCAGCAAATCCTTGATCGGTAATACAATTATTAAATCTTGACTGAAAAGCACCATGCCATGTTGACATTGACCATTCACTCACACAACAGTCAGTTCATTTACTTGCTATATTCAATCAAAATGCCATGTCAGAAATGCATTATAAATGCTTGAATAACATACTCTTCTATAGTTAATACAATGTTAAACAAAAATCTGCACACCAGTCAAGCCATAAGACTTGGATTTCCCACAGCAATCACAAATTTGCAGTGATGTTACTACCGCAAAGGATTCTGGGTGGGCATATGCAAATTGTTTAAAAAGAATTAAATTTTTGCCTCATTCCATTTTAAACATGGATTCCTTTGAGGCTGTGTTTGCTGTATACAACAGCTTTGAAACACAACTTAGGAAAAGATGCAAAGCCAGTGAACCACTCATGGACAGCTGTTTAATTGTTAATGCAAATCATCAGCATGGGGTTGGTTACTGGTTTGCTAGTGAGGCTTGGCAGTGCTTGTGAAGCAAAAAACAAAAAGGTATGGGGAAAAATTGTGATTGAAAACCCCTTCCACGTGAAGTCTGTGGATAGTTAATACAATGTTAAACAAAAATCTGCACACCAGTCAAGCTATAAGACTTAATTTTCCCACAGAAATCCCAAAACTGCAGTGATGTTACAACCACAAAGGATTCTGGGTGGGCATATGCAAATGAGTTCAACAAAGAATAACATTTTTGCCTCATTCCATTTCACTGGCTTTGCATTTTTTCGTAAGTTCTGTTTCAAAGCTGTTGCATACAGCAAACACAGACTTAAAGGAATCCATGTCTAAATTGGAATGAGGCAAAAGTGTGATTCTTTGTTGAACTAATTTGCATATGCCCAACCAGAATCCTTTGCAGTTTTTCCCCACCATACCTGTTTTGGTTTTTGCTTCACATACTCTTCTATAATAGGATCTGAAGAAGAATGGATCTTCTCACCATGTTTCTAGTCAGCATTGTTGAACTCCCTTGAGTAGTGTGAGACAAAGAGTGGCACTACACTAATTAGTGTTTTTTAAGCTCCGGGTGATTTTGACCATGCATAAAAAAGGCAAGTGAGTTATTTTACGATGCATGAAAGTTGCTCAGATCCTAAGTCTTCCTTGAAATTAGTAATACATTTTTATTTACATACATTAGATAAGTCTCCTTAGCCTTTAAAATGCATTTACATTTCACCATGTAGATAACTTATACATTTTTCCTACCTAAACTGCTTATTCATGGAATGCTGAGAGTTTTATTTGCCTTATGACATTTTTCTGATATATAATTGCTTCCTGTGTTCATCATATTTTCTCAGAAAGGGGATTATTTATTTTTTCTCTGCTACTATAAACTAATGCAGGAGTTAGGATTACTTCTCGTAAGTGCTAACAGCTGGGGACTAGATATTAAGGCCACATTATTTGTTTAATAAAAGTCTGGCCTTTAATGTACATATTTATTTTCAAAAAGTATACTCCTGGATGTACAAAAGGTGAAATCTGGGGAAATGGTTTAATGAATAAGATGGATTCTTTGTCATCCTATATTGATATGTAACTATCATAAACATTTATATACTTTATCATTTGTGACACCTGATGAATGTACAGCTACTTATACATGGACTTGACATATTAATATGCATGTAAAACTCTAATGATACATTAATATACGTTACATGTGTTATTAAGAAAAATAACTATGAAATATCCAGTAGTAGGTTATCTCAAGCAACCTTAAAATAAACAATTTTAATAAGTACACTATAAAAATCACTTTGCATTCTCCTTTTACCAAGCTTAGCCAGTCTGAACATACAGTTTAAATATAAGTATAATATACAGTATAAGTATAAATGAACATGTCCCTCAAACTGCTA